ATGTATAGGAGTATTTGTACTGTTGCCAGGCAGTGCAACATAGTTGTGAGAGTTGAGTATTGGGTGTTTTGATAAAATAGATGAGAGTCTGTTTGTTAGTATTTTTGTATATAGTTTTTTGGTATGTTCTATCAAGCTAATAAGGCATGTGTTGTTAAGGTTTCCATCAAAGTTTGGCTTTTTTGATATTGGATAAATTCTACTATTTTTCCATTGTTTAGGAATGTTGTTTGTATTAAGACATTTGTTAAGTAGGTGTGTAATTGTGTATAGCATGTATGGTCTACAATGTTTAAGCATTTCATAATTTATTCCAAGAGATCCATATGCTTTGTTGTTAGGCAGTTGTTTAACAGTATATAGAACTTTTTCTGTAGTAATTGGTTGTAAGAGTGGAGTGTACCAGTTCATATTAATAGAGGTTTTAGGTTGATATTTATTGGCCCAGTGTGAGTTAAATGTCTCAGTTTGATAAGGTTGGTGTTTTGTCTATTGGTAGAAGTATTGTTTTACATGTAAAAGTATAGTTAAGGGGTCAGTTATGACTTCATTTTCTGTTTTGATATTATAAAGAATTACTGGATCAGTATGTCAGTTAAGAATGCTATTAATCATTTTAGTTGATTGAGTTAGTAGTTATTCATATCTGTTATCAATTGCTTTGTTAATATGTTGACAGAGATATTAAGAGTTTTTTAAGCTTCTAGCATAATATATAGCCTTCTATGATTGTTTTATTTAGGAGATCTATTGTGGTAATGATTGAAGGTCTGAAAGAGAGTTTGGTATATTGAAGTTATGTTTTTGGTTAATATTATGAATTTGGTTAATAATAATATTGGGTGTTTGAATAAGTTTTTAATATTGTTAATAATGCTACTAATTTGTTTGAGGTCCTTATAAAAAGCTGTTGCTTTGGATGAAAAGGTATGAAAAGAGTGTTTTATAGTGTATTTTTTGTTAGGTATATATTGAAGAGCAGCATTTATAACAGATGTATATATTTTGTGCCAAAGTTTTTCTAATGTGTCTGTTTCTAGTATGAATGAGTTAATATTGTTGTTTTGTATATTAGTATCAATTTGATTAGTAAATTCTTCCTATTTCTCTTTTGTTATTGCTTGATAGTTGAAAGTTCTTTTTCTGCATTTGTTTTTTTGTTTGGATTTAAGTGTGAAAGAGAATGTCTATTGTGATATCAAAATTTGGTGATCACTATTAGTAGCTTTTGATAAGTCATCTAGATAAAATTTGTTAAGAAAAGAGACTGTATGTTCACTGGCCCATATGTAGTCAATTCTGCTTTGATATCTACTACTTTGCCAAGTAACATTAGTGTTGTTAGTATGGCTAGCCAGGTTATATATATTTGTGCTATGAAGGTAGTTAAGGAGTTGATATTTGGTTGCGTTAGAGATAGTAATTAAAGTAGCTAAGTTAAAGTTACCAAGAACAATGATGTGTAGTTGTTGCTGTAAGGCTTGTTGTATTCATGTAATAATGGTTGATTGTGTTTGCTGTCATGTTAGGTTGTTGGTAGATGAAAGGTAAGTTAAGATGATTCTGAACTTGTAGTCATATTTGAAGAACAGATCTATTGCAATGCTCCTCTTAGATGATTAAGTATATTATGAATATGTGGTTACAAATTATTACAAATTAGGATGCATATACCCTCTTTAGATGTAGGGCTGTTTGACCAGTAGTAGGTAAAATATTGGTTGTTGCAGAATTTTTTGTTTTTAGTTTCTGCTATTTTGGTTTCAGTTAAGCACATTATTTATAAATTGTTTTGAAGACAATATTCTTCTAATAGAAGTTTTTTTTCTGTATCATTAAAACCTTGAATATTGTAGGTAACAATGTTGAGATTAAGTGTTTCATGTGTTTGAGACTTAAGAGGGATGTCGAGATACTAGTATAGAAGCTTTTGACTAATAAAAGTATGTTCTGGTAATAAGTACAATCTGGAAGGTAAATAGATATAGGCTTCACTAATATTGATATTAATAGAAAAGATAGCATAATGTGTAAGATTATGTTGTTGAAGGTGTTTAAAAAAAGAACCAATAGTTTGGTCTTGTGAGATTAGAGGTAAATTGAAGTGTACAAAAAATTTGTTGTAACAGACTTCAGAGTTATAGGTATGTGAGGGTTTGTAATTAGTTTTTTTGAAATTTTTATTGTAATTTTCAGAGTTATATGATGGGGTGGTCTCTGAGAATAATTATTTGTCTTCTACTAAGGTGTTTACCATTTGAAGCTTGACTCTCACAGCTGTGAAGATTTCCATAGTCTGCTCTGTACATTGAGTCTCAAATTTATATTTTAATCCTTTTGAGTTATCATTTTTTATATCTATTCTTTTTATTAATTTTGTTAATAATAAAGTAATTTCTCGATTAATTAAATTTGATTCAATAGTAAAATTTCTTTATCTAATTAATAATGTATTATAAATTAATTTCAAATTTAAATCTGAATAACAATTTAATACATCTTGGATTAAATCATTTAATAAAAGATTTTTATATTTTCATATTATTTTAGCAAATTCATTAAGAGAAAATTAATAAAATCTAATATAATTAATTAAATCTTTTAAAATTTTTTTATCTTTACCAATACCCCATTTAATTATATAATAAAAATATTATTTTCTTTCATATTAAGATTATCATGTTCAATAATTAATTTTAAATCATCTTTATCTAAATCAAGAAATTTATTATAATCAAATAAGATTATTGGATATTTGCAAATAGTTTTTAAAAGATTTGATTTAATTATTGTAAAAGATGGATTATTATTAACAAAATTTAATATTTTACAAGGTTGTAATTCTATTAAATCACTTGTAACCAAATTAATTTGTATATAATTAAAAAGTTTTTGAATTGAAAGTTCATCAACAGCAACCAAAAGACTCAATATCATATCAATATCCAAATTCCCAAAATCTAATATTCTGCAATATATATATTTAAGAATAATTTTAAATATTAAAACATTTATGTTAGGTTGTAATAAAATAAAATAATCATCTTGTTTTTTAGCCCAATTTTCTGATAAAGCTTTTGAAAAATATACTGATCTTGTATGTAAAATCACTGAATAAGTATATATTTTTTTAATATTTGGTTCTTTATCTACATTGATGATTGTATCACTACTTTTATTATTAGATTCATATAAATCTAAAAAATTATTTACTACTTTATCACTAAATATTTTAGTTTTATACATAATTAAAAAATTATATGAATAAAATTTTATTCAGTTTAAAATTGAATTTATATATTTCTATTTTATTAATATTAATTATTAATAATAAATTATTTGTTTAAATTTTTATAGTAATTAATAAAAAGAAGAATAATAATAAAATATATATTTGTAATAATTGTAAATTTATAAGACAGATATTTTATTCATATTGAAATATTATTAAAAATTTTAATAATATTTATTTAAATATTTTTTAGTAATAATTATTGGAAATTTATATTTTGGTGCACTATGCACCATGGTGCACCTCTTTGTCTAGTGTTACACCTAATTATGTAAATCGTGTATTGCAAAAATCTTATACTGTATATTATTGATTACACGTTCGATTATTTATATTATTTACCTGTTAAATGCATTTAACTTACTTCATTGTACATTAAATGAATATACACCTGACTTATCTTAATTTTGTTATAGACAGATTATGATTAACAGTAACTTTCTTCAACCATTTAAAATAAAAACAGCTATACTCTGTCAAGAATATTATAGGTTTGATACTATTTGGTTACATATTCAATTATTTACACTGTGAGCCTCAGAATCAGTATCATGTTGTCATGACCACATATAACACATAATCGATCATCATATTTTGGGGACCTGTCACCTACCCAAATAATTAGTCACATGAAAAGTAAGATTTATTTTACTTTTCTTACTTTTATTACTTTGGTTACTTCAGGTAGATTGATGGCAAATAGAATGTTTGGGTTTTTGTGATTATAGAAGAGAAGCAAGTCTTATAAGAGATGTAATATAAATAGATAATGCAGAAGAAATAAACTCCAAATGTAAATAAAACTTTTATTATAAATAAATGTCTTTCCACCTAGAGGGAAAGTAATGGTGATACCTCCAAGTTAATACATTTGCTTAAATAAACTTAAAGTATCCAACTCTGTATTAAAGTAAAACTATAACCTGACACAAGCTAATAAACTATCATTAAGCCCATCATTATACACTATCGTCTGCCCATTTGTAAAACACTAAACTGCATTTTGTTCATTCGCCATAAGTCACATGACCAAGCCATTATGCAAGAGAAGGATCCTGACTCCAATTCGACATACCGTAACCCCAGAATAAGAAAGAAAAGAGAGAATAAAAGAAGGCCAAGGTTAAAGAAAGCATAGGTTAAAGGAAAGACTTAGAAGAGAAGAGTAGTACTTACCTACAGATAAACCACTCAGCCAAATCTAACATGCCTATTTTGACTTAACCACTGTAGGTTACATGAGGATTGGAAGAAATTAGTGACAAACTCACTGATTTGCTGCATGATAATACACATTTAAATTACTTCATTGTATGTTAAATACTGACACTTTTGTTACCTACAGATCATGAATAACAGTAACTTCCTTCAACTATTTAAGACAAGAACATCTATAATGTGTCAAGAATATTATGGGTTTGAGACTAACCTCAAACATTCATAACTCAGAATTAATTAGCATTCTGTCAGAGTTATGATCCTTTGAGGTTCACTTGACTGGATTTCAAATAGTTTGTCACTATGATGTTTTTTGCATATTACTAACCTTGTATTTATAAATCAGTTTTTTATAGACAGACACTTAAACAACAAATATGATCCTTTGAGGTTTGCTTGTCTAGATTTTAAATAGTTTGTCACTATGATGTTTTTTTCATATTACTAAGTTTGTACTTATAAATCAGTTTTTTTATAGACAGCTACCTAAATGACAATTGTAATTATGGATTTGGATCATAGCGAAGACAATGTTGATATAACAGAGTATTTCGATGTATCTTATAATAAGGACATTAGTAACATAGCTAACAATATAGAGTCATTATCTTTGAAAGAAGGTGACTCGTTTGATGACTTTGATAAAACTGAAATTTATATACGTTAATTTTCTAATTCCAAAGAGTTCAAAATATAACTTGGGCATGTAACAATAATAGATATGGCAGAAAGTGGCAAAGAAGTTCATAAACAAACAATTTTCTATAAATATTCAGGTCTATTTAAACCAAAAAATGCTAAGAAGCCAAGTAATTCAGCTCGAATACAATGCCAGTGGCATGTTAATCTTTCACATTCTTCAAAGAGTAATGATGATTTCTGCATATTTGTCACCACTCTAAATGATAATCATAACTATAGTTTATCATCTGAAGTAATTCAATTTGAAAAAGATAAACAGTTTACAGAAGAAATATGAGAAGGAATTAACTTTCTTGTTACTAAATGTTGTCTTGGTGCAACTATAGTACATTTATCTTAAAAGAAAAGTTTATTTCTTACTCTATATTTGCTAAGGATCTTTATGTTGAGATACAGTGGTGCTGGCCATCATGTAGTGCAATTAAATGTAGTGCATCACAGTTTTATAAGCAACTATTATCCAAACAACATGAAGATTCTCATTGGTTTGTTGAGGTTATGTGGGAAGAGGAAACTAATACTTTGATTAATTTGTTCTGAATGAGTCCTGAACAAATTATGTTATGGTGTAAATTTAATAAGGCAGTTGGGCACAATAATACTGCAGGTACTAACAGGTACAATATGTCACTTTCTTTATTTATAATACAAGATAATAACATGCAGTCTCATATTGTTGCCCAGGCTTTTGTTTGCAATAAAACAACTGAAACATATCAATAGGTCCTTAAAATGACCAAGAAAGCAACAAATAATAGATGTCTTTGTATGTTTGTAACTGATAACAATCCAGCTATAGAATGCGCAGTAATTTTAGAATATGCAACATTTCTTTTGCATTTGGCATATCAAGAAAAACATCAAAAAAATGGTACAAAAGAAGCTGGGAGATCAATTTGATAATTTTTATTGCAAGTTTTGGCAATGCTGAAATGAAATACTCCACAAGTCTTTGAATACCATTGGAACCAGCTTATAGGCTTTTCTCTGCAAAATTGTACCTTGAGCATTAACTCTATAATAGATGCTTTTCATGAATGTGTGCATTTACTGCTATGACATTCACACTCAGCATTCAAACTACATCATTTGTTGAAAGTTAGAATGCATGCATCAAGAGGTATTAGAAATAGCAATACATCACTATGTGAATTAGGTAAAGTATTAATGGAACATAGCAAAGAGGAACAAAAAAGAAAGCAATTTGAGGAATGAAAAAAAGGTGTTCCTTCTATGACAAATGTAACTACTATTTTTTCTTCTATTGAATTTTTAGCTAAACATTACCTGAGACCAAATGTTGCAAACTTTTTAGTTGAACAAATGAAAGAAAGCTTATATTACACTGCTAGTTGTGCTACAGTTGAAGAAATTGAATTACTTACCTCTTACAAACCTTCACAAAGTGAAAATATAAATGACAAGCCTGATGCTATTGTTTTGTATGCTATATATCTTTTAGAAAATTAGAACAAACCTTGATTGTAAAAATTTGGAAAATCTCAAGGGTTACAAGTCAAGGAGTTAACTATTTTATATTTCTTCTTTTAGATGGCTTATATAGCTGTACTTGTCTCTTGCAACAAAGTAAAAGGCTTGTGTGTTGTCATTTTTACCATCTCCTAAATATTACTGCTAAGGCACAATTTAGTTTGCAATTAATTGCACCATGTTGGATTCCTAAATCTCAATAATTAGATGCAAAGAAGGAATGTATACACTTTGAACAGCATTTTAGTAATATTAAGAATAAAACTACTGATACAGATATAACCATAAGCAATAAGAATCAGCATATATGGTTACAACTGTTTGATAATAGTGAAACAGAAGAAATTACCAATGATGATTTTATTGATGAAATGCTTTTTTATAGGAAAACTTGGGGTTTTGCACATACTGCTATAAACAAATACATGTTACATTATGATAATGAGTTTATTCTGTTAATTGAGAATTATTTAAATAAGATTCACACTAAAGAGGAAGAATTAGTTAGATCACAAGAAGAAGTGATGGCCTCAACTAGTCAAAATGTTGCTGAAAGTACAGAAGATAATATGATCCAACTTGAGAATCTTTAGAAAGTAGTTGGTAGAGGAAGACTAAAGGCTGCAAGTCATCATAATAAGAATATTATGAATGTGACATTACAAGAAACAAGTAAAAAAAAATGTGTGCAGTATACTTGTAGATTTTGCAAAGAGCTGGGCCATAATATCGCAACTTGTCCAAATAAACCATAAAGTAAATATGCAGAGTTGTAAGCAAAGTAAGTTTGTTTTTAATAACCTATAAAGTAAGTATGCAGAGTTGTAAGCAATGTAAGTTTGTATTGATAGAAATTGTAAATGCTTGCGCATATGCTTATAGTGGTGTAAGTTTATACATGTTAATTATATTATTATTTGCTTTAATTTGCTTAAGTGCTTCTTTATTAAATAAAAAGTAAAGGTCTATTACATAGTAATAGACATGTGGCTTTTTTTATTACATATATTTCAGTATCTTTATAGTTTTTGGTAACTATATTACTATGTATCAGTATTGTTAGTCTTATTGCATATAATATGACATTATCATTTCATATCTGTTGCTAATGTATAATAAACAATGAACTACTTGGAGTTGACCTAAATTTAGTAAAAATTGGCTTAGTTAATGATATTGTTTATGCCAAAATGAAAATATAAAAACTTTATAGCGATGAAGCATTTAATAGAAGCTTAACTAAATGTGCATATTTTTTTTAAGGTTAGAGTTAGTGTGAGTGCTAAAAAGTCCTTTTTTTAAAGTTAGGTTTAGGGTTAAGATAGTATAATATATAGTATGAGTAATAGGTTCTACTATGAATTTATGAATATACAAAGTGTGAGTGCTAAGAAAGTCCTTTTTTTTTAAGACTAAGCTTAGAGTTAGGGTAGTATGTATAGTATATAATCCACAGGTGTATTAGCCACTTAACTATATAGATTATAATTATAACTTAGGTATTACAAATTCACAAATTTATTAGCCACTTGACTATATAGATCATTCTAATTGTAATGTAGGTATTACAAACACATATTGACATCTATGAAAGAGAATCGATTTTCTGCTTACATGACTTTCTGACATCAATAAATTGCTTGGATTTCTTTATGTTATATCTGATTTTGATTTTTAATTGGCTAATTTACTTCAAAATATCATATGAGCAGAGAATTGATCCTATATTACACATCACGTTATAATTAGATATTGTATAACAATTGTTATTACAAGTATAATCATGTGATTATACTTGGCATTAAATAAAAGGATGCATTATGATGCATGGTGCACCATTTTTTAAAATCCTAAAATATAAATTTTAATTTAACAAAAATAATTTATTTTTGTTTTTAGTAAATAAGAAAATAAAAATTAAAAAAAATATACAATACTATTAATATGACTTTAATATACAATTAATTTTTATATTGCATTATTTACAATTTAGCTAACAAACTTATAACTATGAATTTTAGTATATTGAATAAAAAAAATTTTATATTTAGATTAAAACCTATGCTAATGTTAATATTAGAATAGTTTTAATACTAAAATTACTTTAAAAAAAACTTTTTATTAGAGCACTAAAGGTAGTTTTTTATATTGCTTTTTAAGAAATTAATAATTTTTAATAAAACAAATATTTATTTTAAAGTTTTCTGATTATATAATATTATATTAAGTTAAGATTAGTTATTAGTTGATTTTTATAAGATATTATATAATAATAAAATTATATAGTAATTTTGTTAATGCATTAGAAGCAATTATTTAATTATCAAAAAATTATATATTGAAAAAAATTTTGTAAATAAATTACTATTAATAAGCAAGCTACTAATATTTTATTTTTATTTTTTTAATATTAATAGTGAGGCCATGCCTCTATCTTTATTAAATATTTATTTGAAATTTTTACATAAAGCATAAATTTACTTTTAAAAATATTATAAAAAGAGTAAAAGCTCAGACTAGTTTATCTGTGACCTAAACCAACAGGAGTGGCCAAAGCTCACCTAAATTCAGGTGTTTGTAATAATATATGAAAGGTTAGTTTGGTATTTTATCCATTGTATATACCAGGAATTAATTTTAAAGTAAATTGAGTTAGAAAGAAAAGATTAAGATAAGTATAAAGTAAGATTGAAAGGTGAATTGAAAGTGGAAGGATGAGCTGTTGATCTTGAAATACAGTAAGAAATCAAAATTTATAATATACTTGTTGGTTAAGATGAAGTAAAAACTTTATAATAAGAGTTATAGCTATTTTTTTAGATGATAGGTTTGAGACAATAGAAATAATTTCATTTGGTACTAGGCCTGATAGAGTTGAAAAGACTGATAGTAAGTCTACTGTGTTGTGTGTAATCATACAATACAGTTGTCTAATTTGGCAGTGAAGTTTAGTTATAGTTTCAGAAGTGGTATTAAGTGTATTTGTATTTAAAGCATGTTGTAATAAACTGTCAATAAGGTTGTATAGCAGTTGATCAGATGAACATATTATTCAATAAAGGTGAGAACTGATTTCATGGCATTGGTGACAAGTTGGTAGATATGAGTGGTATCATTTGTGTAGAGTGTGTGGAGTAGGAAAATCATCAAGTAGAATTTTAATTCTGAAAGATTTAAGAGCAGAAGATTGAAAACTATATGAAAAGTTTGAGATTTTTTGATTGTTGTTAATGTATAACCAAGTAGCTTGTCAATTAATTTGGTTGAAGATTTTGTTCCACTTTTGAAATCAGTTTTGTGTAGTTCATAAAGCATAAATATGTGCATGACAGATTGTACGAATACTGTGATGAATAAGTAATTCTAAAGAGAAGGTTTTAGATTTAGAGTATAAGATAAATTATAAATATTGCATGACATAAAAGTTAGGTATAGTAGGTTATGATAGTTTCGTGCTAGTTGGTCAGCAAGGTTGTTGTACATGTTGTCTTAATGTGCAGTTACTTTGTGAAAGATAATTTGAATTTTGTATGAGTTAACAAAGTTGATAAGTGAGTTTCATAATGAAAAGTATGATGTATATGTATAGAATAAGGTTGTAGAAGAGTTACAATGTTTTGGTATTTGGAAATTACAGATTGAGAGTCTGTATATATGTTTATAATACTATTTTTAGGAGCAGTAATAAGAGTAGATAGAATAGCAGTAAGTTCAGCTTTAAATAAACAAGATCATAGTTTTGTTTGAGCTTGAAATATATGTAGTATAGAGTTATTAAAAATTTGGACCCATCCAATGCCCATAGAGTATTGTAAAGTACCCAAGTCAATAACAGAACCATTTGTATAAAAATGAAGTTCTGACAGATTAGCATTATAGTTGGCTATTTGTTAAAGATTATGTGTAAGTGAACAAGGTTTGAAAATTGTAAGAATTGGTTGAGTAACAATAGTAATATTTGGAAGATCTGGAATTTGAATAGGATGTCAAATTGCAATGGAGTATATAAGGTCAAAATAGTTAGCATTAAAATTAAGAGTTTTGTTATGAGTGTTAACTTGACCCAAGAATCAAGTTAAGAGATTAGTAGAAATAG